ACCATCTGACCCACTCTCACCCCTTTTATTTCCAAATCTTGTCTAATAATCTCCACCAGGGGTTCGATTGCTATAACAAAGAGCCCAGGGGATAAGGGGCACCCCTGTCTAGCCGATCTACTCAGGGGAAAAGCAGTGGACGTTTGTCTATTGGTAATTATTTTGGCTTGCGGTTTATGATAAAGGGTTCTGATCCAATTGATAAAATAGGGGTTAAATCCAAATTTAGATAGGACCTTGAATAAGTATGGCCACTCAAGCCTATCAAAGGCCTTTTCCGCGTCCAGAGTAAACCATTGACTTTTAAATAACATCTGCATATCAGGTTGTGTTGACTTAACAGGCCTAATCCATTTCAGGGAAGTTGATATCATACAGTGTCATTTTGCTAGTACTACTACAATGGGACATGATGCAATTTCCAAGTTTATAATTGTGTATTTTCAAATTGATGTTACAATTTCATCTACAAATTAAGTATAATTGAAATCGGTTACATATTTGCCATCCTTTAGACAGTTGTTGGAGGTGTTAGCTGTTTTGTAAGATGACTTTGGGACCAGTCAGTACCCGTCATGTCAGTCTTTTTTTTTGGTCTCGGTCTTGGTCTCGTCTCGACTTTGTCTTGGTTTTGTCTTGGTCTCTATACCCTCTGGTCGTGGTAGTGTTTTGGTCTTGGTTTAGGCAGTCTTGACTACAAGTCTAGTCTGAACATGGGCCCTCATGAACAGGGGTACTTTGACCACTGCAGGATTTCAAACTATAACTGCATACTGTGTTATCAATGGTTTTCTTGGCAACCGAGGTCTCTGCTGCTTTGAGATCATTAACGAGCTCCTCCCGTGTAGTTCTGGGGTTAGCCCTCACTGTTCTTAAGATCATTGATGCCACAATCTTCCTTGGGGCCCGAGATCCAGGGTGATAGACAGTTATTCTGTCTTTCTTCCATTCGCAAATAATTCCACCAACAGTTGTCACTTTCTCACTAAGCTGCTTGCTGATGGTCATGTAGCCCATTCCACTTTTGTCAAGGTCAACAATCTTGTCTCTGACATCCTTAGACAGCTCTCTGGTGTCTCTCATGGTGATAAGATTGAAGATCTAGAAAGATTAGTGACCAAAGAATACTCTTTAAAGTAATGCCATTAAATGTGAATGCTGGCTTGGTATCTGTTAATACTTAATTAAGTACTACTTGTGTAGTGTTAATGTGTTAATTTCTTGCTGACTTGTGGGGGGTCAAATACTTATTTCCCTAAATAAATGACAAATTGATTTGTACCTGTTACATAATGATTTTTTCTTGTTTGTTTTGTCGAAAATCTTCTGATGTTGAAATAAACATACCATTGAAATTATAGACTTCTCATTTCTTTATAAATGGGTGAACTTAGGAATTCATTGGGGTCCAATAATTATTTCCCCCATTGTATGCATAGACTATACACTGTATGTACTGTGCTTGACAGAATGGGCAGTCAGAACCCTTGCAAATGTATGAGAGTATTATTTTCTGCATCCCTTGGTTGAGGGGCTGTTATTTGCCCCGAGATTCCTTCAGCAAATCTATTCCAGCCGAGAGAACCATGATGAATAGTTAAAAACTGTCAGAGGCTGTCAGTTATTTGCCAAACAGACTACTGATTAGGAGCCTAATGTTCTGTGACCTTTTCCTTCGGCGGCAGAAAACGTCTTGCTAGGGGGATGTGAAGCCAAACTCGGGCGTGCAGAATGCCAAAAAGCCTGCTTGTGGTGAAGGTTTCCTTACTAATTTTTGAGCACCTGCCTTAAAGTTAGGGCTAGATGATTTTCACATTGATATTTTATCGCATATACACAATAATTACCAGGACTTTAGATGATGCGTGAAACATTTGGCTGGATGCCAGCTTTTCGGTATTATATAGACATTTATTTACAGCCACAATTTCTTGGGCAGAATAGTAGTGCATATAAAATATTAACGAGGCATTTTATGATGCCCAAAAGGTAATCAATATAAATTTGGCATATCTTTATTTTTAATAAACTTGTCAGACTTTAAACTGCAAAAAGTACTACTACGCCACCAATTTTTTACCTTGTTTATCCACAAGATCGCCTCTTTTAAAAGATGTCGTGGCTGCTGAGCTGTTCCTTTCTTCACTGCCACTTCAGTGCATATCGCACTGAAGTATACCAAACCATAGTATACCAAAACAGAATTATGTGGTGAGCTCCTCTAACCAAATTTGATATACATGAAGATACGCAAAGTTTATACAGATTACCAACTTTTGAGTGTCACAAAGCATATCTCATTAGTATTTTAGGTGCACTACTAATCTGCTTAACAAATTGTGAGTGTAAATAAATGTCCAAATAGTACTGAAAAGCAGGCGTCTGGCCAAATGTTTCACCCATCATTGAAGCCCTATTGATTATTGAAAATGCATGATATAATATTGATGTGATATTGGTCAGACCTCTCTATAGTCGAGGTGGTGAAAAAGGAGTCGCCGTCTAAGAGTATCAAGAAAAATCTAATATAAAATTTAAACATGAGGGAAATTATTTCATTTATTGAAATAAATTAAAAGTAAGCATCTTGTTTAGACTTTAGAGCAGATCTTCAGAATTCAGAATTTTGGACTCAGACATTTCAGATTTTTTTGTGAATGTTTATTCACTTGAAGCATGTTCTAGACAACTAACCAATGTTTACTAATCCAACTCACCCCCTTCTCTACCCATTGCCCTCTCCTATACTTTCACCTTGCCTGCTCCCTCCCAGCCTCCCAGCTTCCCTCAGACACCAGGAAGGGCAAATGTTCTGAGTGGGATTCATCTGAGTGGAATGAACATGCTGAACACTGCCCCCCAGAGATCACCAGAGGCAGACACCCCAAGTGCAACTTGTCCGACTGTTACCAGGGCAAACACTGTGACCAGGGGCATGTCAGGCACATAAAGGGCAAACACCCTTCTGACTCCAACCCCATCAGACTCCACAAGCCTGAGTTGTCAGGGTATTGGAGGGAAGAGACTCATCATGGATATGATTTGATGGATACTCGCGAGGAGCATTCGCTTTTTATTAGAGCTAGTGGGGAGCTGAGTGACTCACAGGATTCACTGGAATTTGAGATGATGGTGAGACGGAAGGAGAGACCTGCTGAGTTGTCTATGACTCCATGGCCCCATGAAAGAGACAAAAGGAGGAAAAGAGAGAGAAACAGGGAGGGCTGTCGAGGGCAAAAGTGGAATAAAGAAGGTAACTGGGATAGGGATAGAATAGAGTGGGAGGGGAAGCATGCCAGAGACTGGGGGAGGGATGAAGTGTGGGAAAAGGACAAGAACAAAGAAAGGGACAGGAACAGGGAGCTGGATAGAGACAGGGGGTGGGAAAGAAATAAAGACAGGAATAGTATGTGGGAGAGTGAAAGTGACAGAGACAGGAGCAGAGAATGTGAGAGAGGCAAAGACAGAGGTGGGGAGTGGGAGAGGGACAGGAACCGGGAGAGAGACAGGGATAACAGCAGGGAGGGGGATAAAGGCAAAGACTGGGAAATGGAAAGAGAAGGAGATGGGGAGCGGGAGTGGGGCAGCGACAGGAACAGGGAGAGTGATAGATACAGGGACAACAACAGGGAGAGGGGGGGAGACAGATACTTGAAGAGGGACAGGGAGTGGGGCAGAGACAGGCAGTGGGAGAGAGAGCAAGATGAAGAGCAAGAGAGGGACAGGATCAGGGAGAGAGAGAGGGACAGAGACGGGGACATCAGCAGGGAGGGGGAGAAAGCCAGAGACAACGAGAGAGGCAGGGAGTGGGGGAGCGACAAAGACAGAGTTGGGGAGCAAGATGTGGATAGAAAGGGGGACAGAGACAGGAGGGTAAGGAACACGGAGGGAGAGAAGGACAGAGACATGAAGAGGAACAGGAACATGGCGTGGGAGAGAGACACAGACAAGAAGAGGAACAGGAACATGGAGGGGGAGAGGGACACAGACAAGAAGAGGCACAGGAACAGGGAGGGGATGAGGGACAGAAACAAAGATCTAGATAGGGTTAGGCACAAAGATTCACGTAATGGCAGAGATCCTGATGGAGAAGGACCTGGCCTGAGCCAGATTTGGTTGGAGGAAAAGTTTGCAGATCAGGAGCACAAGCTGGGTAGGCGGAGAGTGATTTCATGGGACGATGAATTTTTGTATAACTCATGCTTCAGAACTGAAAGGAGAGGGGAGAGGAGGGATCACTGGGACCCCCGTGAGGAGGTCCCAAGAGCACGCTCCTGTTCACATGAGGACACCTCCCAGTCTTTCTCCCCCAGGGGGCCAGGTATGATCAGGCCCCTGTGTGTGCTAGATCTGTTGCCAAGGGTGTTGCTGCTGCTTCTGGTGGTGGTGGTGGTGGATCTGGCCCTGACATCTTTATATTGCTCTGACCTTCCATCTTAGTGTGGGAATTTTTTTTTACTTCCTTATATTTCAAGTGAGCAAACAACACCTTTTGGGTTATGCCCATGGTCTCTATATCTTGCAAATATCAAGGATGTATTTGTGTGTTTTTTCATTTTTGTATTCACACTGCTTTTCTTTTGATTTCATGACCTTGGGATATGGGAAATTTTATTGCTTTGTCTTTTGCACTTGTTATTAAAAAGGACTTTTTCCTGTATGTGGTGCCCTCATCAGGCAGGATGGCACATAGCGAGTATGGGATGAGGGACGTTGTGCAGGGCCTCGGTCAGATGGACCTCCGAGAGCAGGAGATAAGGGACCTGGAGGTTGCCCGGAAACTGCAGGAAGAGGAGTTGAAGGTGGGTATCTTGCCACTATAACGCCATCTAATGTTAAATTGTAGTGGATACACGTATAATTCATTCTGTTGATCTGTGCATCCGTCTTCTAGCCACATATCTCATTCAGTGTCATGGGGGGCTGGGGCCTATTCCAGGCATCATAGGGCTGGGGTCCACCCTGCAATTGCAGTAAGCCATCACATTAGTGAAGCTTTAAGGAGAAAAATTTATTGCCTAGTAAATCAAATAGCCTGTCTCAAATTCCCTGTTTCTTTAGGCAAGTGAGATTGACAAGAGAGCTGCACAAGTTGCACAGGATGCAGTAAGTTTATGATCATCCAGTCCTCCTGATCTCCAAGCATGGGAGTTTTTGCTTTTCCTTCACTCAATCTCTTTTAAATGTTCTTGTACTTCAATATGGTAATGTGCAAAATACACATTGATAAAGAGGGTGACCTTTGTGCCATAACCTCAAAGGTGTGGCTTCCTTCTTACAGTGATGTTATCAAGCCAGAAACAAAAGGTAATAAATAAGCATAAATATGGATTGAATTCTTATCAGTTGACTTTCTGTTGACAGGAAATTGCCCGTTTATTAATGGAGGAAGACAAACGGGTTTATAAGAAGTCCAGGGATCGAGAAAAGCCTTGTATGGACCATAGAAGACCAGAGGGAGATGAAAAGGTAACCAGTCCGCCTGCCTGTTATTTCATGAAATATTAGGCAATTAATCAGTGTGTAGGTAATTTCATTCTGCTTTATAACTGCAGTACTATAATATTGGCTGATAAATCCTGCCTTCATAGGGGTTATTGTAAGAATAAAAAAACAGTAACAAGCTCGCTACACTAAACAGTATTACTGAAGTATTACAGCATAGTTTCCTGATCATATGGAAAATACAGTGAAATGACTGATCCATGACAGTGTACCTTCTGTGTTGATGTTCCAGCCTGGATTCGAAGAAGTGGTGAGGCCCAGATCACGGGAGGAATACCAGCAGAGATCCAGGAACCATAAGGCAGATAGGTATTATAAATGTTTGCTGCCCAGACAGCCCTCACACATCCTTCTAACTAACAGGAAGACACTTAGGAAGTCCTCATTACATGTAAGATTGCTCATGCTTAAGCTCATACCCCACCCCCCCAAAACACATCCATGTTAATATCTCAGTAAGTTTATCTTGAATCATCAGCCTTGTCAACTCTGACATGTTAGGAAAGAAATTAAACATTTTATACTGTGGTAAGACTGACCTGCTATTTCACTTGTCAGTTGTCAAATTTTTCAACTTCCTACTGCATCCTCTCTCTCTAAGACCGGCAGCTCGTTCCCATGACTACGAGAACATGGACTCCAGCTACCTGTATCCATCAGCCAACTATCCTGGCCGTGCTGCTCCTGGGCCAGAGACAACTTATAAAGGTGACATCATTCTCTGGAATACTGTCCCTTCTAGTACTGGTCCATCTCTGCATGTTCCTGGATTCTGTCATGGGTTATGTCATATTCATATCAAATTGATATCTAAGTACTTTGTTTTTTACCTGTCCATAGCTGACTGAATCTAAACTTTGCTTCCCTGACTCAAATAGACACAAGAAGCATGACTTCTCTGAGTCTCTAAAACATGACCTGAACTTTAAGCCATATCCCAAATTCAGGACTAGTGTGTACACAGTGAACTACTTTTGGTATGGTTGGAATTTTTCTTTTTATTGTCTTTATTTTTGGTCAGAATAGCTTGCTACTCAGTGCACTACATTTCCCCATGGCTTGGATGAAAGTGTTTCTAGCATTTTTTCCAAGCAAATATTCATTGTGTAGTTTCCTCTAACGGAATCAACCTAATAGTTGTACATAGTATTTATGTAAACATTATGAAAAGTATATAACCTTTTTATGTATATGCTGTATATCTGCTTCATCAGGACTCGTGACGTTAAACTTTTCAGTCAGTGATTTATTTCAGTTAGTTTGATGTGTTACCTGTTTTGGCCATTATGGCTTTAGCACATGCTCTACAAACAGGGTTGCCATCCCTCCTGGATTGGCCGGGAAACTCAAGGAATTAAATGAGGCTTCATGGACTTTCAAGGCTTCAATCTGGGACATTTTTCATGTAAAAACTGGGGCTGTCAAAGTTAATGTATATGTTACAAATCATAACATTTTATTTATCTGTTTGCATATGATGTTTTGATAGCTAAATGGAAGGATAGAATGAGCAGAGATTTTTAAGAGAGAAGGAAAAGTATCCTTTCCTTGTTATAACGGACACAAGAGCTTAAGTTGTGATGTTATACAGAATCCTAAAAGAAAATCAAAAACATACTTTTAGTGGCATATCATGGGGAAGCGGTGAAGAAAAGGAAACATTGCTACTTGGTTTATTTAATTTTTAAAAGTTGCCAGATGGCTCTGATGATAAACATTGTGGTTTTAATTTATTGAAGACTAATACCTTAAAATGAAGATATTTATTAGAAGCTTTCACATCAAAGTTCAGGTGCTTGTGGTCAACCAGTCAGTAAAGTTTATTGCTATAAACCCCACCCCAGTACTTCCTAATTACCTAAAGTACCTACCAAGGACTAGGGACTGAAAAAAGGTTCAGGGACTACCTCCCAGGAACTACAATTGGATTGAGGTCCTGTAGCAGGAACATGACAGAAATTCCTAGTTCCTGAAAAAAGTTCCTGCTGTCCTGTCTGAAATGGTCGTCTGTACCCATAATTACCCATGGAGTCAGCAGGAGTGCTCCCTTCCTCCATTTTGCAGTATCTATGAGGCAGCTGGGAGTCACGGTGTCTGATGATGCTAGTGTAGCCTCCCAGCTTCCCTTTCTTCAATGACAAAAATTGATCAGAATAGGGATCAAAAAGCGCCATAAACTCCCATGTGAATCTTCAATGTTTTTGCCCTCCCCCCAGCTGATCTAAGATTCTTTTTCTTACAGGTTCCTACAACCGCCAGTGACCCTGCCCCCCCACTCCTGCCATTCGTACATTATTTTCCTTTGTTTCATTACAGTTCCATTTTGGATTCATGACAAGCAGATGCCTGCTGGGACAACTGAGACTTGCAAGTAGACTTTTCCTGGAATTTTTGACACGGAACTTTAACAGAATGAATGCAGCCACCACACTACTGCTACTTATACTTTTTGTTTGAATTTGGGCTGGACAAAAAATGATATACGAAGGAGTTGATGGAGGTTGATTTGCTGTGCTCTTGAAGTCATGGCCATATTGCCAGAAGATATTCCTTTTTATTTTTGGATAGTTAAGGTCCCGCACTTTCATCACACCAGCCATCACTCGGTTGCGTGTTTCCTGGTGGCTGTCCTTCAGGTTACAGTTTTGCAACCTGTTCACAATATAAGCTTCCAGGAACAGGCCAATTTGGATTTGTCTGTGCTGTACTGTGGTGTCTTTGTTCTGTCCAATGGCTGCTGTTTGTCCTTGTCCATGTAGAAGATATAAGCGGCTTTGGGATCTCGATCTTTTCACTGAACCTAATCATGCAGCAGTGATCCAGCATGGGAATTTTCCCCTCTCCAACACATGGGAACCTCCACTCCATTTCCTGGACATGAGGCAGCAATCCCCATTCCATAGAGTTAAGCATCGTCAGCAAACTACTCCCATCAGGAGCTGAAGATACCATTACTAGGGGGAACTCACTGTCTTCATGTGTACTCTGCTGTTTACTTTGACATATTTATTCATGCGTCTTTGTTCCCATTTTGCCTTGACGGCAATAATCTGAATGAATCAAAAGTGATTTTTTTTTCTATAAAAATATTTATAATTTTTAGTTGCCAAGTACTGAGCTTATGCTACTGCTAGATGTGTTGCAAGTTTTGTAGACAGAAAATTATCAAATTTTAAGTACTCATACAGTTTTTTTGGTTGTCACTATACATTGATGGAAACCCAATTCCCTGGGGGGTGGGGCTCTCTGGTTTTCTAAGAGTAAACAAAGCAAAGAAGGGGATGCCATATTATATTAATCATACACATATAACTCAGTCTACCCTGTCAATACCTTTCCAAGTCCCTAGTAACAAGAAAGACATGGAGAACATTGACAGACCTGTATATTGTACTGTCTATAATCTTGACCATTTCAAGAAGGTTTTTTGATGGAAGTACGTTTTTTTTTTTGGGGAGCGAGTACATTTGTGATCATGGGAGGCCTTCATACTGTACACTGTTCCTGTAATGAATTTTAAACTTGTCAAGCTGTTACTGTATGCTCTTCTAGGATAGTGCTAAGAAGAAGCCTCCTGCAAAAATAACATAATTCTCCAATGAATGTTTTCCAAGAAATGGGGCAGATACGAACTGAGGATTAATATCAAATGCTTAGCAGGACATGTTGCTTTGAGGACCTGCATGCAAGGCTTCAAATCAGAGAAGACTTAAGGAACACTGAAAGTATAGATCTTCATATAAGATGGTGAAGGGAAAAAATTACAGCATACAGTTTTTCTTAAATTACTTTTCAATTCCACTTAGTTATGTTTTGATTCTGTTTTGTGTGATCGGATTCACATCTTTTTGGCTTAATTCACAATGACTTTTGACTTTCAGTCTTCAGTTCCCCCCCCCCAGTGGCACTGCAGAAAACACTGCATGGTTTAACTGCACTCCTCCACCCATTTCCTTCCACATTTAGTCTATTCTTGCCTCTGTGATGTTCCTGTATCTCTGTAAAGGTATCATTGTGTACACTACTCCACAAATCGTTGACTGCAGGTTACCAAAAAAAGCCTTAAGGAGAAAGAGTAAAGCTTGCTTTTCATAAGTGAGAAGCTTCATTAATTTATTCACTTGAAGGGAGCTAAATCTGTCTGTTTTAGTATCTCTCTAGAATTTAAAAGGTGCCTGAGGATGAAGAGAATGAAATGAATAACATAAGGTGGTTAGGATCAATATTAACCAGATTAGTAAGTGTGAGTACAATGCTATCCTAATGTTGAAGTATTGTGTACAATTTCAGGTCTTCTACAACATTATATATGCTAATTGTTATTTTTGAACAGTGTATGCTTAGGCAATTGCAGACAAAGGATTGGGTTAAGACTATGGAGTGGATTTTGTGCCACCTTGAAATGCAAAAACTACTTTGGCATGTGAGGGAAAACATTTGATGTGATGTATTGTTTTACAGTGCACAGCATGCAGACACAGTGCCATGTGAAAATGCATTGCAAAAGAGACATTGCTTTTCAGTGAGTGTCGAGAGGAGAAAGTAACACAATGAAAAGCAAAACCATTTCTTTGTTTTGCATCTTGTTCAAGTACCATTAAGAAAAACAAATTGAAGGGTTTACGTTACACACAATTTAACAATGAAATTGTGCCACACCGCACCGAAATGCGTCCAGAAATATCAACGCAGATGTTGCAACATAATGAAATACACAGCAACACTTGCATAGCAAGTGCAAAAAATACATCACCACAGCAGGAGATGCTATTTGTATTAATAGAATTGCAAGCTGTCAAGCTGCAAGGAATATGTTATAGAAAGAGATTAATTGTTCTCCTGCTGAGGAAAAAAGTAACTATCATAGGAGAACTATAAAGCAGGTTCTTCACCTTGGCGGAGATTCCTTTTGTTTCCTGTATGTAGTCAGCTGGTCTTCATTTGGGTTGCTGCAGTTAGCTAGTGCAGAAGTTAAAAATATGTTAAAGGGTGGAAATGGCTGTTTGGCAGTCCATTATGTAATGTGTTCCCATTCTCAGGGCTTTTGTGAAGTCACTTTCATGATAGTACCCAGTCCTAGTAATAAAACATGTCACAAACTGCAGTGGACTTTGTTAATGGCCAGACCTTGGTGGGCAGATTTACTAAATTAGAACAATTATCCCCGACAATGTTTGCAGTTCCACAGATGAACCACCAGGGGTACTTAATGAAAACATTCCACGGAACATTCATAGAGACACATTACTTCATATGTTTGAGTTTTCTCCATCTCCTACTTTACACTCTCTTTACACTTTACACATACAGCCCTTCAAGTACATTTACTGACCCTCCTTTAAGCCAGGTTGAAGCAAGGTCATCAGAGCTGCTACCAAGTATAAGCTCTAAAATCCTCCAATTAACTCTTCATAGTTTTACTGATTTTAACCTTAGTAAACAATGTCCTTGCTCATAAGTCACTTGTACATTTTACAAACAAGAATGAAAACTTCATTTATACTTACACTTGAAACCCTTTTTATCCATGTGGGATATTGCTCATAAAATACTGACAAATAAAAATGTAAAATGTGTTTTGTTACTTTAATATATATCGGTTGACTCGTGTTATTTATGTAATGTCACTCAATGTCCCCTTTTGCCTGTGGGGAAAATAGGAGGTGGAGTAGAACAACTCGTTGGTTGTAGCTGGTCCGACAACATGCCTTTAACTTAGGTTGTTAAACATATGTCTGTAAGATCGCTGATCTAGCCTCCATGCTCGTTTTAGCTCATTAGGTCAGAATTACAACGCCGCCAGGCACCATAAAAGTATTCCAGCGATCCATTCTCACCATTTCTGGGTTGCCAACTAACACATCTAGTGTGGCACTCACGTAAGAAATTTTAGAGCAAATCTATATTATTCGATTCAGAACTTAAAATTAGTTTAATCAAAAGCGTCAGAACCTACAGACTACAAGGTAATAAAACTCTTATATACATGAAAATGTGTGTGGATATGTGTGCAGGCTTGTCTCAAAAATTTTATGCCAGCCAGCTGATCAAACCACAATTTTTCTGTTGCTTCCAATTACACTCACCAGCAGAAACTGACTGAAACTGTGAAAGTCTACAACTTGCTCTTTGTAGAGCACACAGGCTTTGAAAAGCACACAGGCTTAGCCCACTGAGCTACATGCTGCCCCCAATCTTGCCATTTGCCTTACATTGTCATACACTGAAAAAAAATATTTCTGTCCAACGCAACAAAATTGAGTTTATTTTATGCATTTATTATAGTACATGATTGTACTAAATAATAAGTTATTTCAAAATATATTTACTGCGTTTTGACGAAGCTTATTTAATTTGATTAAAATCATGTAGAAAAAAATAAACTATGGCCATGACTGCGCATGCGTGCATAGTTAATACATCCATCCGTTTTTTGCCCGGGAACAGACTTTTCTGCTGGACAACGGACTCGTCATCTTTTTCTCCGCACTATCCAGCTAACGTGTTTTGTAAGTGAACTTTTGCAATATTGCAAACCATTTTATCAGTTGTTTTGTTCGGAAGCTATACGATCATACCGCAGTATTTATAAACAAATACCTAATTTCGTTATGGTGTGCATGCAGTAACCGGTGTATGTTCTGAATGAAAATAAAAGTGGTTATTCTATTCTATTCTATTTTATAGATGCATTCATATTAATGCACAGAGTAAATGTCATATCTTAACATATGATATGTATGCACTGTAGGCGCAGAAACAAAACGCTGTAAAACATTTTACTATAGAAGAAGGGAAACGGCATAAGAAAGTGCAGTGTGGTTAGAGAATGTCAGGTAGCCTTCTCTTTTAAATATAGAAGAGTTGAGCTCATATTTTATATTCTCCATAGGTCAGTACCAGCATGGATCGTTTGAAGCCTGGCATATTCAAAATCTTATATTCGGATTTGCCTCCCCTATATCTTTGAAACGACACCACCAAAAATCACAAAAGTCACACTCTGTTTCAGGAGAAAATTCAGATTGTACTACAACATTGTATAGTGAGTGATATGTTCATTAAAATTGTAGTGACGAGGCATTTTCTGCGAAACTAATAAGCCAGCGTTGGAAGCGCAGCTTTTTTGCTAGGGACTGTCTACAAAGTGCAAAGTGCATTCTGGAGAAACATAAGAACTATACAAATGAGAGGAGGCCATTCGGCCCATCGAGCTCGCTTGGGGAGAACTTAACTAATAGCTCAGAGTTGTTAAAATGTTATCTAGCTCTGATTTAAAGGAACCCAAGGATTCAGCTTGCACTACGTTATCAGGAATGTTATCCATACTCTGACAACATGCTGTGTAAAGAAGTGCTTCCTTAAATCCAGTTTGAAATGTTCTCCCGCTAATTTCCACCTAT